TGGCAGACATGGAGCCCTTGTGTTTGCCTTGAAGGACAGGAACAAACCTTAATCAAAGCCGTGTTTTTGTTGTGTGGAGTTCCTGTTGGTGGAATGTCACTGAGCTGCAACTGGTGGGGACTCAAACTTGATTCAATACTGTGAGCGGAAAAATGATGAAATTGTCTGTGGCAGTATGACAGAATTCTTTGTGTTTGCAACAAAGTGACCAACAAGTCATTCGGCCACATTTTGAACAACCACCTTCATTGTATGTGTGCAAGGCTCATAAAACTGCACTCTAGGCTGCATACATCTAGTTGACTACAGCTGCCTACACCGTACCCACATCAGCTTTTACTTTAGTCACCTTGGCAGCCACTCCTTTGTAATATCTACTGGAGTTCACCTTTAGAATGAAGATAGGCATATTTGTACCAGTTTTTAATTGCGTATTATTTCTCATCGACTTGGTTTCTAGACATGGACATGTTTTTAGTCAGACGAGAGCTCCTGGGACGGATTTAAAATACAGTTGTTGCTCTCTTGAAATAAGATGGAGATGACCACAGCAAGACTGGGACAATTTTGAGACACCCGCCATGACTCTGTGACTACTTTGTGCACAACATTGGTGCAAAATCATTTTTTGAAGAATTTCAGTTCAGTTGAATTTAACGTGCAGCTTTCAGTTGAGTTGCCACATTTCTTTTAAGCCCTCTTATTTAGGCTTAGTTGCTACAAAAATTGTGTAACAGCAGTGAGAGCTGGTGACATATGTTCAGGAACAGCCATATCATAGCATTTTAACTTATATTAAAAGAAAAGTGTTAAATGTTATTTATTAGCATTAGTCACCTGCGATGCTGTCTCACTTGTGGAGGCTTGTTCCAGGTTCCTATAGCTGCAGTGTGGGATCCTCTGCACTCCTGTGCATGAAGGACAGACTTTTTAAGTTCAAAGTTTTTATCCATGGTGCCGTAAGACTAATCATGCTAACGGGGCTAACACGACGTCCAAATGTCTGTGGTAAAACTCACCCAACATGTCGTGCCATCGGCTATTAGCTTCTCAATGACGTCGGAAATGACGGCTTGTAACTCGACTATGTTGGAAAAATATCTCTGACTGGCGACAATGTAGCGAAGCTCAACGTAGTCCAAAAATCTTCGGAATCCTCAACGAAAAAAAACTTCCACACCGCTGACCTTTTGACTTCTTCCTCTCTGCCGTGATCGGATCAGGTAGGCACACGTGACGCCAGCACAACTGCAGACATCCTTGTCACTGGGTTGCAGTTATACAAAAACAGCGTATTTTAAATCGGTGAATTATTCTGATGGAATGGCCGATGTCCGATATTTAACTTTAACACTAATATCGGCCGATACCAATACCATGCCGATAATATCGTGCATCCCTACTCTGGGCCCTTGAGCAAGGCCCTTAACCTCCACATTCTGCTCCTCTGGGTGCCCTACATGGCAGCTCTCTGCTCCACACAGAGGGCTGTGGTAGCTCGGTGGTCTGTGGTTGCGTCAGGAAGGACATCCGGCGTAAAAAAATAATCGCCAAGCCTTCATGCGAGTTAGTTTGCTATGGCGACCCCTGAAGAAGGGAGCAGCTGAAAGCTTTCTTTAAAAATAATTTAAGTAAGGTTATTAGCTACTTGCTGAAATAATTATGTACACCTTTATTTACAATTAGCAATAGAGGTGTACGTCTTGGCGGGATGGAGTGGATATACAATCATAGGAGGAACAGAGAAGATGAATGAATCTACTCATCATCTCTGCAGAGAGATGCCAAAGCTTTAATCAGAAGCGATTCCCCTGCCTCTCTCTTTGTTTGCCCTGCTTTTGTCCTAGATTGTGTTATATTCCCTTTTGTCCCTCCCCTTTACTATTGCCAAGACTTACAGAAGCAGCAAAAGCACCACTGAACCTCTGAGGGTAATCCAGGATAAATAATGCATCGCATTTTTGATGGGGTGCTATCCTATAGCCTCTGAGAGAAAACTCTCTGCTGCAGGCATCCAGCTTACTGGCAGCTTGATGTATCGAGAAGTGAGAGGTAGAATAACAGAGATACAGAGAAGGTACACTCATTCAGTCCTACTGACAGATAGGGAAAGTAATGGGTAGAACCATAAAGACAAATGAACCAGACAGAGATTATGACAGATGCCCACTATAAAAGCTACGACGCATCTTTGCAGCTGAGCAAAGAGGCTTTGCAATTTGAGCGACAAATCACTTAGTCGCCTTGTCAGCTGCCAAAACTAGAAATTAACTGGAGAATTGGTTTAAAGAATAAACGTGTAGACAAAAGATAACAGGTTTTTTTTTTTTTTTAGATGAACTAATTTTAAGAGACTAAAGAGTTGAAAGTTATAGTCTATTTAACAACTCGAACAATCTTGAGTCAGGTCATCCGGACGGTTTCTTTTTTTTGTGCTGAGACGTTTCGTCCGTCATCCAACGGACTCGGCACAAACAAGAAACCATCCAGATGACCTGACTGAACATTGTTGGATTATATACCTGGATTATTGAGCATGAACTTTGCTATTTGCCAACTCTTAAAGTCATACAAAAACGCAACATTTCTGTTTTGTGTGTTTGCTGCCATCTCTAAAAATAAGAAATAAGGAAGTTAGTATCTGCCTAAAATTAACAATCAATGATGATCAAATATCAAGTAAATGTATTTAATGTTTTGAATAAATAAAATAAATCTGATTCTCTTGTCCACGTGAGAGTAACTTTGGCTTCAGCAGCCTTGTTTCCTGAAGAATGAAGCTGCTTCATGTTCTGGTTGTTCTTAATTTGAGAGAACAAAAACTTCTTCCAAACATCAAATGGGAATCTTTAAGTACTTCAAAGGTCTGTTTTTTGATTATTGTTGCATCCATAATGACACTTCAAACAAAACCCTACGCACAGGACCTCTGACCTAAAAGAAATGACACGGTATGAAACAGTTTTCATACTTCATCATATCAGTATCTTCAGTATTTCCACCCTTTTGTTTTTGGGTGCAACTTAGTGCACAGTCCCTGGTTTCCAACCACTGAATGAGGATGCAAATCCATCCATCCATTATCTTCCACTTGTTCCGAAGTCAGATTGCGGGGGCAGCAGCTTGAGCAGGGATGTCCAGACATCTCATTCCACAGCCACCTCTTCCAGCTCTTCTGGTAGGACCTCAAGCCAACCGAGAGACACAGTCTCTCCAATGTGTCCTGGGTCTTCCATGGGGGTCTCCTTCCAGTCGGACATGACCAAAGCACCTCCTAAGAAGGCACCCAGAAAGCATCCTTACCAGATGCCCAAACCACCTCAACTGGCTCCTCTCAATTAGAGAGTTAGCTGGTAACTTTTTCACTCACTCGATAATTTCGATGGTGTCTGTTATCAGGGCAGCTACTGCTGGCTAGTTTACTTCTTCCTCCTCAGAGTAGAAAAAATGTGCACAGATTGTCTTGAATTGTGACTCTTGTCAGTGTCATTTTTCGCTTTGATGTCATAAAACCCAAAGTGCCTCCAAACACTGGCTTTCAGTGCAGAAGGTACAATTGTTTTGAGCCATTCCGTTCTCCCTCTGTTGTGTGCACATCAGAAACGGTCCAAGCTAAATGAGATTTTAAACCAGTATGGAAAGCTCAAGATTGAAAATCTGATGGACTCTTCTAACAACAAAACTATTGTGTATAAAAGATGGTTTGAGTAGACATCTTCAATGTGCATGATTGTTATTGAAGTATCCAAGTGCAATGATATTGCTCAGGGCATATGTTGATGCCAAGGCCTCAGCCTCTCAGCAGAAACTTTTATCGTCTTATTTCACGCTGACTCTTAGTTTTATGCCAGGAAATGCAGCTTGGTCATTGCAGATTCTTGTTCAGTTTGGTTTAGACATTGTGGTGCACATTGCTTGCTTGCTAGGTAACATGCGTGCGTTTCTACATGCATCGGTGGTCATGAGCCCCCAACGATGATGACCTCTTGTCTAGTTGATAACATCTGTGTTAGAGTTTGCGTTGCACAGGATATAAAATCTTGCTTGTCGTCTTCCTCTTGTCCATTTCCCTTCAAATCTACCTCGTAAAACAAACAGTCCATCGACCTCTTCAACAATGTGCAAGAAAGCAAAACTGTCTTTCCGTGATCACTAACATTAGTTCCCATTTGACACTGGCTGCACATGATGCACATTAGCTGCTATAATTTGTTTCTGCTGATTATGGCAGATACTGGTTGGTCACTGAGAAAACCAGCTCTGAGCTGTGAAGCTGAGGCGGCATTATTTGATTAAGAAATAAAATAGTAATTAAGAAACGCACTGTAAGAGTTCTTTAAGCTTCAGCCAAACGTCCCTGCTTTGCTCTGACGAGTTGACTCAACACCAAAAGTATCTCAGTCATAATGCCTAAGCCCAGAACTCTGAATACAACCCAGGCTTGGAAAACCAAAAAAAGAAGGTTTCCTCGTTTGATGCGGCGCCTGAGATCACAAACTGCTCCGATGTTAACAGAGCATTTGACAAAGCTTCAGGAAAAACAACGTTGTTCTTTGGCGGGTTGTTTTTTCCAGGCCTTAAGGCCACGTTGGGTGTTTTCTGTTTGCTCAGATGAGGATGGATGGTGTTTGATGGCCAGGCCTCAGTGCCTTAAAATGAAATGGTATCCTCAGCTGCACCCCTTCAACAAAAGACCGGACACGAGTGGGCTGATAGCGTATGGAAATCACTCCAGCTGTTTCACATGGCCTGTCTTTTCAGAGCCGGGCAGGCAGAGAAGAACAAAGATAAGCAGACCCAAGTCAGTTTTTCCTGAAGTTGAGCACATCTACTGCAGTGTGTGTTCACTGCCCTTAATCTTTGTGTGCTTGTTTAGTGCACTTGGAATGTGTTCTGGGTAATTCCTTTATGTTTTAAAAGCTTGGCTGGTCAGTCAAGAATTTTCCTCTGAAGATTTTGACAATGTTCTTGTGTTTTTCTCTGCCTCTTCACCCATCCAGAGTCAGGCCATGCGTATCGTCCGGACGGTCGGCCAGGCCTTCGAGGTTTGCCACAAACTGAGTCTGCAACACACCCAGCAAAGCACAGGACAGGAAGACTGCAAGAGTGACAAGAACGGCAACGACCTGTCAATTGGAGGTGCACAACAAACACACACCGAACAATATACATCAATCTGTAAATGTTGGAGCAGCTGCTTTAGCTTTTTGGTACACTGCTCCTAGATCTGGTGAAGTGCACTTCAGGGACTTGTTGTACAAAAGAGCTTCAGAAGTCGGGGTCTGTGTTTAAGTGCTAAGTGTCAGTCAAAGTTGTTGAAAGGCTAACTTGTTATTGCAGCCTTGTAGAAGCTTCTACGCCGATTTAAAAGGTTTAAATTAAACGTTTTAAGGTTTTGACGCAAAATAGAGATTCTAAACCTCCTTTGTTTTGTCTATATGCACCAATCTAAATTAGACCCTGAACACTGTGGCGTTCTCATATCCAAAAACTTTAGATTGTTAAAGATGAAAGAATGGTATCAGGTAAATTGTATTATTTTACATCTGCTGCTGCAACTTCAACTGTGTAGGCTTGAGTTGTTTTGAAGATTTCAAAATCCTATTATCTGAACTTCACTTCTTTTATTCAGCAGAACATTTTATTCCACTTTTTATTGATGATTTTATTGTAAATTAGTACATTTTTTCCAACTTTTGTGTTTTCATCAAGGTGAAGCAGAAGGTTTTGGTGTTACTTTCATGTTGCAGGTATAAAGGACACAGAACAATGTGCACTCCTCGTGGTTGCCTTGTGGTTCATTCTATTATTATTCTATGCGGAACTGTCTATAAATATTTAAAACAACTACTTAAACTTTTTATCATCTGCCTAAGGCTATAAAGTGTGCTTACTGCTCGAGTTTTCTTGAAGTAAAGTCATGAAAATACTAAATTAATCTAATTTGTAAAATGCTAAATGTTTGCACTTAAAATCACTTTCTGACCTCCAGATTCTGCAAAAGTGTTTTACAAAACTTCTTGTTTACTGTTCACTCATGCTGTGATTTGTATTAGATATTTTTCACTCTACAACACTTTTGTATACTCACTCATGTGCCAGTAAGCATATCAGGGACTGGGGGTGTCAGTTTCCTGCTCAAGGACTCTTCAGCAAGCTGAAGAAGTTGGAAATTGAACCCACGTTCCTCTTAATATTAACTCCTGTCCAGTGGGCCAAAGCTGCTTCTGATCTCCTTGGGATTTATTTGGTCCTCCCTCCTTTCCAAAACCTTTTTAACTTTGTGTTAATGATGTTAAAAATTGATCAGCTGTTTTTGGCACTGAATCAGCACTGGTTGGCTCTGTCAGTACACACTGGTATTGTCTCCAGTCACTGGGTCATGGAGGGGCTGAACTCCAGCCAGACAAAGGTGGGGAACACCCTGCGGTCACCTGTCCATCGTAGGTTCAACAGAAACACACAACACATGTGCGCCCTCACACCTACTATCTATTAATTTCTTAGCATTTGTCAAGACGTTCTCAGTGGATCTTTGAGGGTTCTGCACCACGTTTTCTGATGAACAATAAGAAGATTCTCATTTGGTTTTAAGCTCTGCAAACAGCTGGTTAATTTGTCGTCCAGTTGTGCACCATCTTATGAGTGAAAACTTGTCAAATTATTACCATGGGTTGCAGAATTTAAAAAGAAATGGGAGTCATGGCTTGTCCCAATGTCAGTTTGATTGAAACCCAAGTTGTGACCTCTCAGCTTGACCAAACCTTTGGTAAAAGCTTTTTTCTCTCTCTCTCATTAGTCACATATGTCATTTTAACTTTATTGTTTGGGGGAATCGGGTCATCTGCTCACATCGCTTTTTACTTTAACTGAAATGGCATGGAAGTCCTTGTTCCTGGCCAGCAGTGGTGTGATGCAGGAGTGAATGTTAGATGGGCTGACCTACTGTATTTTCCGCCGTAAACGTTGCACCGCCCTATAAGTCGCATCAGTCCAAATATGTCTAATAAAGTGGAAAAATCCATAAATACGTCGCTTCGCTGTATATGTCACATCTATTATACGTCACCGCTGACACGTCGTGTTTGTTGCACGTCACCGCCGACCACCTGGAAATGTGGGCCGGTGTTTTGCCAAAAAATCGATTGGCTGCCAAATGGCGGCTGCGGGAGCGTGCACAGGAGGACTTTCACAAGAATTTAACAAGATTAACATATAAAAACAATTATTTCTTTGCTCGAAATTATAGTAAAGGTGTGTCTCAGTTTAACTTTTACTTAATAAATGCACTTTGACGGTCAAATCGGCTGCATTTTCAAAAGTCGATACGCGGAAACATGAACGCGCAGAGGGCGACTCGTTGTCCATTTCTTCGAAATTTAAAAAGATAAGCACCTAAAACAGTTGTTTGTTTGCTCGACTTTATAGTAAAGGTGTGTCTCAGTTGAACTTTTACTTAATAAATGCATTCAATGGTCAAATCAGCTGCATTTCACCAGGGCGGCGCAGCGAAATGAAGCTGATTTGATGGTTGCTCCAGGCAGACGATGGTGGCAGGCTATGGTGAGCCGATTGTGTCATTAATAGCCACGTTTACCTATTACATGATACAATGGCATGCCATACTACTCGAGTGCCATCTAGCGGCTGAAAATGGTAGTGTTCAATATTTTCAGTCAGAATGAATGAAAATGGTCATATCTCAGCCAAAAATTGGTTTATAAATATGGGGGGGAAAATCCATAAATATATTGCTTCTGCATATAAGTTGCAGGATATGTAAGTTATGCAAAAAAAACTTGACTTGTAGGGCGAAAAATACGGTACTCGTATCTGCTGCCATATGCTGGGACACATGATGGGCTTCCCTGCAGCCTAGAGACACGTGGTTCTGAATGAAGTCTGCGAGGACAGACTTGGACAGTTAGCAGAAGAAAAAGTCCACAAATGGACCGTTTTTACACTGTTGTTCCAGTTTTGACTGCAGCCAGAACCGGTGCAAGACTGAAACGTGGTATTTCCACAAACCCCTCCGGGGACGAGCTTGCTTTCACATTCTGATGAGCTCAAAGATCACCCTCGCCCTTTGATTGTAGATTGTTAGAGGACCACACATGCATACAGAGAGGGCCCTTTCCACTCACTAACTTCCACTCACTGTTGTGGTGCGTTAAATAACACGAGAGCCGTCAGCCACGGCCAAGGAGCTTATCTGGAGAGCTCATTATTGTGGCAATGAAAGGAATGGGGATAGGAAAGTGGGAGATTTTGAATTAGATTATTTGGCATGCAAAAAATGAGCAAGAGGAGTAAACGAACTTCGTATTGGAAGGAAAATAAACTGTATAAGGATGAGCCATAAAAGTTGAAGTAAGGAAGTTGATTAAAGATGAAGAAAAGGAATGGAGAACTGCATGGAGCAGAGCAGCAGGAGCAACATGAGAGGAAGTGTTATGGCTACAGTCGATTTGTGTTCAACAATTATGCAAGAGAGCGTTGGGATCAAATAAGGAGTATAATCTATGAGATGAAACTTCTGACAGACTTCATTTACAGAACTTCAAGTCCATTTTTCACCAAAATAAAGTATTTATTCGTTTTACCTTTAATATGATTCATGAACTTGTTGTAAAATATACTTTGTAAATCTCACTAAGGTAAAGGATTGCAGTAGTTTGCATACATTTTAAATGTTGCGTTCATTTTTTTTTTAATCTAATTTGATCATTTGTGCAACAGAGAGTTCACGTCAGGATTTCTGATTAGCTGCTGTTTTTAGCATTTACAGTAAATGTAGTTATCGCACGCCTTCAAAGGCAAAAGCCAGATCATGGTTTTGCATGTGTGTTTGTGTGTCTTTGACAAAAATAAATCGTGAACCTCTGGATGGATTATATTGAAACTCTCAGGAAGTCATCATTGTATGAACACCTACAATAAAATAACGTTTGGAGCCAACCAACGATTCCAGTTGGCCACCACAGCCAAGTGATGAAAACACAAAGGTGCATCTTATTCAGTCAGTTTTGTAGATATTGACCTAAAATTTGGTTTAGTTGTAGCTGAAAATAAGTATATTTTCTTAAACTTTGTCATTACATTCAAAACGGTCTGTCTGTTGGCAACATATCTCATGAACCAATAGAAAAAAAAAATAATCTCAGATTATAACCCTTTTATGTACATGTACAACTATTTTACTTTTAGAGATGCCACGACAGCTGCACGATATTAGACAACACAAAAATGGCTCAAACTCTGTCAGTTTTTCAGATTTTGAACTAGGTTTTTGTGTGGTAGTAGAGGAGAGTCATCCACAACACATACTCTGGGTTGTCGCACGAGAAGGTGCATATTCATTTTCAAGTTTTGGCTTCAGTTTAGTCATTTCTCAGCATACGGGTTTTTTTAATCTTAACACTGGTGATATGCATTTCTTCAAGGAATGCCAGGCCTTAAATTTGTATCGCACGTCTCCACACAGACTGTTTTTTTTTTCTGCTGTCTGTGTAATCAGCCACAGTAAACTCACTCTGAGAAGTGTTGGCTGAGAAGAGGTGAAGTCGAGCAGCAAACGTCCGACAACAAGAGGCAATCGTGTGAGCAGCAGCCATCATGAAGAGGCAGGACAGCGCAGTGCTGATAGCAGGGGAGAAAAGGGGGAGGGTTGGGAGCTGTAGGAGAAAAAGGTTATCACGTATGAGGTGATTTAGGAGGAAGGTAAGAACGGCTGTGACCCCGTCGAACTGTTGCTTCAGTAAAGGAGGACTGGACTGATGATTAGGAGGAGGCGGAGTCCAAACGAGAGGAGCAGAAAGTAACAGAAAAAAGTTGCAGATTGTTACAAAGTTGCTCGTTCAAATACAAAGTGTACGTTTTTTTTTTTTTTCAGGGACTAGGTTTGTGGGGCTGTGCGGCTCATTAAATGCGATGACGCGTTCCAATTTTCTTTCCTGTTGACAGTTGGAACATCACGAAATGACCACAAATAAAAAGAGTGAAACTTCTTTTTAGCCTTTTAACTTTATTTTACTTCCAGCTATTTAGACATCTGCTATGTCTTTACATCCCCCCATCATCTTCCATGACAGTAAATTGTATTTAAAAAAAATCTTGTGCGATCTGTTAGCACTCAGAATATGTGCTTTGGTAGACTCTCAGCTACTACCATGCTAAGTTTTTAGCTCAGGGCCGTTTGCTGTGACAGCCATCTTGAATCAAGTTCACTCAAAAAGTGAATGAGTTGTTGCACATCGAAAGATTATGTATTGATAGTTTTGTTCAAATCCACCTACTGGTTCATATTTTTGTTTGCTAACAGAGATAACTTTCTATTAGTTAATGATAAAGTTTTAAGTAAAATTCTCTCACGGTCTTTTCATGCTTATTATTTGTGTTAGAAGTGACTCTCAGCTACTACCACACCAGGTTTTAGCTCAATATCTGTAAAACTGACAGAGTTTTTTTTATTTACCTACTTTGATTAGTTGTGCCGATCATTTTGACTCTGATGTGCAAATCAATAACTACTTCTCGAGAGTTTAACTGATTCATAATAAATGTGCACATGAACTCACACGCAGTGACACAAGCCAACACATGATTGCCTTATTTCACCTGTACGTGGTTCACCACACTTCCATCACGTCCTTTTGTAATCCTTAAACACATTTGAGTTAAACCTAAACTGTGATATGTTAAAGAAAAAACAACGATGTCCAAATAAAAACATTTTAAAGGAAATAGAGGTGCTTTTAAACTATTAATTGTGCAAATTTAACCGAACGCACGAGTGTTTGAGTGACGTAAAATATAAGATTGTATGTCTCAATGCAGATATGGTTTCTCACTATCCTTCCTGTGTGTCCACCCATGTGTGTGTGTGCACATGCTCATGCCTCCATGTGTGTGTGCAGGCGTGCGTGCTTATCCACCTGTGTGTGTGTGTACTTTGTTCGGCTCAGCCCGAGAGCCAACAGATGGGGAGAAGACGGTGAGCGTCGCCGAGGAGACCGACATCGATGCAGAAGAGGTGGTTCAGGTGCCGGCAGGCGAGGACTTGAACCTCAACAGAGGAGTGACGGATCTCGACGCCACGGCCAAGACGCCCGACCTAAACCTGACGGAAAACAAGGTAAATCACAGCTGGTCCTCGTTACTCAGTGACACTACCTGTATTTAAAAAAATAAATAAATCTGACCGTTGAAATTACCGAAAAGGTAACAGCGGGGAAGGGGGGAAACGTGTCCTCCCCTCCCCGCTGTGCCCGCAGGGAGTGGGGGGAACTTTGTTTGTTTCCTCCCCTCCCTGGAGGCACAATAAAGTTTTTGCAGCAACTCGAAATAAGTGCATTAATATGGCGCTCTGATATTGGTGGGAGACTTCCATGACTTCCTGTACATATTTGTGTATGTTACCTGTACATATTTAATTAACAGTTCTAAAAAATCTGACACCCGCAGCTTTTATACAAGCGCAGCCTATATATGTCCAATGTTTAATTTAATTTTTTTTATTTAGTGGGTGTGGCTTATATTCGGGTGCACTCAATAGTCTGGAAATTCTGATAGCTGTAATCTGAGAAATGCTCAATCGCAGGCATTACACTTTCTTGTTTTTCCTACAATACAGCTTCCACCGAAGCACATCCATGCACGCTTGTTTAAAAAGTGAAAAATGCACGTGTCACGGATTCCCACACTGGCTGGTGAGAAGACGTTGGGTGCATTCATTCATCCCCAGTTTAATCCTGTCAGTGTTTATGTGTGACACAACCACACAAATGGCGTCCACGTTTTATCGCGTGTTGCCATCTGAGCTCCAAACCTCTGCAGAGAGTCACCCTGATCGTGTGTTTGTGCTTTGTGTTGTGTTTGCGCGGCCTCGCGGTGCCAGAGATCAGATCCACTCAGTCAGACTGTCTGTGGAAACTCTCCACTAGAGTCTATTTCAATCTGAGAAATGCGCTGTGGTCTGTGGGGACGTGTGTGAGCTCAGCTGGCTCAGCTCGCAGAGCAGCGTAGTAACTTTTGTTTACTCGTATTGTTTACTACAGCAATGTGCAGGAGTGGAGTTGTGCTTCTGAATGAAAAAATGAGAACTTGATGTTCTTTATGTTACTCCATAGTTTGAGACTAAGATTACGCGTCAGATTGGCAGCAGTCTTAAACTTTTTGTTGTGGTTTTCATAAATTGTTTCCCACAGTCTGAAGCAATTTGCTGCTTTGTCACATTCTGTGAATTAATTCTCCTTTTTCTTCAAAGCGTCTTCTTTCATTTGCACTCCATTCAAGGAAAGTTTTGGATTTAATTGTGGGTAAATAAAATCTTGGCTTCCAAACGTTGGACCAAAAATAGAAAATTAGAAAAGCCAGACTATTTTTACAAACCTTCTAAGACGTTGTTTATCTTTATGAATACTTCATACCCAAATAATTTAAACCAAAAATCTAATATAAGAACAAAATTGTGTATTTTAGCTAAAAAAAAAAAAAAAAATTGTGAAGGTTGAGTGTTGAATGATTTGAATAATGTTTTGTTGAAGATTAAATGAACTGAAACGTTAAACTGAAACTAAAATCAGCAAAACCATAGCTAAAACTAAAATTAACAAAACAGCTTAAATCTAAAAATAATAATAATAATCAGCAGCTATGTGCTAATATTACTAAAACATTAGCAATAAGCTAAAAGTAGGCAAACCAAAATCTAAAGGTAAAATTAGCCAAAATGTAGCTAAAAATTTAAACTAGCAATCAGGTAGCTGAAAAAAATATCAAACCTGAAACCTACATGGAGATGTCAGTGTATTTATATTAGAACATTTTCTGTAAATATAGTTAAACAATTAAAAATGTATTAAATTCACAAATACTAATAGTCATAGCCCAGTATTCATAATTGAACTGAATGCTTTGACCTATAAATGATTAAAACTACCCAAATTGCCATATTTTTTGCCCTATAAGTCATGTTTGTTTACATAATTTGCATTCCCTACAATTTATATGCTGAAGCGACATATTAATGAATTTTTCCATATTTATAAACCAAGTTTTAGCTGAGATATGACCATTTTCATTCACTCTCACCAAAAATATCGAACACTAACATTTTCAGTCGCTAGCTGACAGTCGAGCAGTATGGCATGCCGTTGTATCGTGTAATAGGTAAAAGTGGCTGTTAATGACACACTCGGCTTGCCATAGTTTGCCTGTAGAAATCGTCAAATCAGCTTCATTTCACTGCGCCGCCCCGGAGAAATGCAGCTAATTTGACCATTGAAGTGCATTTATTAAGTAAAAGTTCAACTGAGACACACCTTTATTATAAAGTCGAGCAAACAAATAATTGTTTTTAGGTGTTTATCTTGTTAAATTTTGAAGAAATGCACAGCGAGTCGTCCTCTGCATGTTCATGTTTCTGCGTATCGGCCTTTGAAATGCAACTGATTTGACCGTCAAAGTGCATTTATTAAGGAAAAGTTCATTTGAGACACACCTTTGCTATAATTTCAAGCAAACAAATAATTGTTTTTAAGTGTTAATCTTGTTAAATTCTTGTTAAAGTCCTCCCATGCACGCTCCCGCAGCCACCATTTGGCAGCCAATGGATTTTTGGCACAAGACCGACCCACATTTCCGGGTTCGGCCCACATTTCCAGATTGTCAGCGGTGACACATAAGAGATGTGACGTATACGACAAAGCAACATATTTATGGAATTTTCCACTTTATTAGGTCTATTTGGACTCATGCAACTTATAGGGCGGTGCAACATTTACGGCAGAAAACACGGTATTTGGATGTTGTTTTAATGCAACAAATGTGCAAAGTACCTATAAACAGAAAACCAGGTGTGTGACTCGGCGTTAGACGTGTTGAACCGCGTAGTGAGAAATGTTTAGTTAGTCTGCTTTTTTACTCTTGTTTTGTCCATGTTTAATTCCTAAATATGCCAAAGACTCCCTAAATGTAATAGGTGTGAGCTGCTCCTATCTTGGGATAATTAGCTTGTTCCTCAGGCAGTTAAAGCTGAAAGTAATTAAAACGAGACTAGCTGTAAGGCGACGCTCTTGGCCAGCATCTATTAAGCATTTCATCAGATCCAAATGAGACCATGATGTCAACAAAAGCTCCACTGTTTCTGAAACAAGCCTCTCCACTAACCTCGTAAACACTCATCAGAATAAAGAACTTGTTATGGATCCGAACGTAGTTGAAAAGTGGAGCAGTTCATCTGTTTGACAGTCTTGGAGAACCGATGACAGTAAATTTATGAGACATTTCACTGCAGCTTTTGATTGAAAGCAACACAGCGTGAAATCAGTGGAATAACGAGCCCTCAGCTCCGACCTCTGTCCTCAGGTGGGTGCGGTAAGCATGTGTCTTCATGTGCTAGACCGTCTCACTGATGGACAAGTTCCATGTGTAGATTTACAGGTTTTTGTATTTATTTTTTACGTATTAGACCACTTGACAGATTAGCTGGAAGTGTGCAGGGACATGTAGTGAAAAGTAACGGTGACTAAGATGTACGTGTGTGTCCATCTCCTGTCTTTGCATTAGCACCCATTTGCATGCATTTTCAGCTGTGCACTTCTGTTCATGAGCAGAAGGATTTGATTCACTGCAGGGTTTCTCTGGAAGCTCATGAAAGGGAAAGCAGCTCGAGTGTTAAAGTTCATTCTCCTTCTGTCGTCTCCCATTAGACTGACAAATCCCTTGGTGCCATGCTCTCAAACGATCCCAGAGGGCTTACAAAGCACACATCAATCCTACCTTTGCCTTTGTGTGCAAGGATTGAGTCGAGACATTATTTTTTCAATTGGCTTTCCAGTGGGATCAAAAACAGTAATACTACCAGACAAACTGGAATGGCAAAAGCCACAGCTTAGAGATAGTACATTTTACACAGTGCGACATCTATTCTTGTTTTCTGGCAAGAGACACGTGCTTATTGATTGCTTCAGTAGAAAGTCAGCGTTCTGCAAAACCAACGAAAAAGGAGCTAACGGAGCATGACACTCGATGCTAACTCAATGTCAAATCTCAACCACGTTTTTTAGGTTCAAACTAAGACAGACATACAGTGTATTAATTTAAGGCTTATTTATCTTCTATCCCTTTATTATGGACGTTGATACAAAGAACAAGGATGTCCTCGTTCACTTTGGGACATATATATATATATGCATATATGTTTTAATGCATATACAGAGTGCATTAAAACAACCCACATTGATTGAAGTTCTGCTCAATCAGTTTAAACAAAGACGTGAATAGCTAAAAATATTAAATTATTGAGACAGTAAAAGGAGTTAAAACATGAGGTATAAAGCAATTTAAAGGGCAAAACAGCTTAATAATCAAATCATTAATTGCAAAAAAAAAAAAAGCCAAATTAAAAAAAAAAAAATATGAACGTGCCTTAATCCATATTTTGAAAATATTAACTGAGAGGACACACTTGATAATGAGTGAAAGGTTGTTACTCTGCTTTGAGACCACTAAAGCAAAGACACAATCTCCCTTAATGACCAAGCTAAAGCATGGGACATCTACAAGGAGTCAGTCAGAAGATCTGACATCTAGAAATTGAATAAGTTCAGATAAATCATCAGGTGCCAGGCCATGAAATACTATAAACACAAGCAAAAGCATTTAAAAAAATTTTTATGTAACAAGAAGCCAATGCGACAGATGCTAACAGAAGGATGATACTGACTCTGTGCCAATTAGAGTTCCTGGTGTGTTTTTGATGGTCAAATAAAAATGGCTGTACATGGAAAGCTGGGTATTTAGAGGATCAAAACTAACAATCTCAGACTTATTATTTAACTGAAGACAGAGCGCTAATGTTGGATTGTATACATGGATTATTGAGCATGGACTTTGTGGTTTTCAACCAGTTTGACACGACTGTCAACAAGGAAGAGGGCCGGCAATGGAGGAGGGGGTGTACCAAAGAGACCATCTTATCACCAACAAAACTGGTTTGTTCTACTTTGGAGTAAGCTGTTGGGGGAAGAATCAGTTTTGTGTTGTGCGTTTCCTTGACTGATGAAGCCTTCTGGATCGAAGGCGAAACGTTTCAGCACAAAAAAAGAAACTGTCCAGATGACCTGACTGAAA